GTCCATGACCCGAGGCACCCGGCAGACCCCAGGGTCCTGAAATCCTGTGCTGTACCCAGCACCTGACTTTCTCAATGATCTCGGAAAGGTCATATACCCGTGTCTCTTGACCTAGTTTACATCCGTGCTGCCCAGAGATGCCTTCTTCCGATCAAATCTGACCTGTGCAACAAACTTGGAAGTTGAAAGGACACCTTTTTCTTTCTGCTTTAGAAACCCTTAGAGAACAAGCAACCCAGCCCCAGGAAAGCAGCCATTGGCCCACAATCAAGCTTTCTAGCAGGCTATTCTCTGGCAATCTCCCGTCCCCACTGTGTGCATCCCACACTGTTGCTTCCCAGCGCCTCAGCTCCATGACTAAGAAGTTCAATGACTGCCCAAGGACGTTGCAAACTGCCCCATGGTTTGCTTGGTCCTGTTCTGTCCTGGGTTGACTTCACGTCTCAACAAGTCAAAGTTATTATTAACTCGACTGCTGCACCCTGATTAGCTGGAGCAACGTCATTCACAGTTCAAAGTTCACTCTGACTTCAGGAGTTGGCCCAGCTAAGATGATGGCTGCACTGGGCAGCAGGAAAGTGAAGGATCTAGAACACCCTTGGTCCCCTCCACCATGCGGGACTCAGGTGTTTCATTGTCCCCTCCCAGGCTGGCTCATGACTGCTCAGAAATGACCTGTTCTTTCTCATTCCTCACGCCAACTAAGCAGACCCATTGCTCAATAGGCACCACCTGGCCGTCGAGATGAAACTCACTTCTCTTGAGTCTTCTCTTCACAAGATGCCCTCAGCCTACTGGGGCTGCACTGTAGAACAGGGCAGTGTCCCAGCCTGGGCTAGAGATCCCCATGAGCCCTCCACCGTGCAAGAGATGCTACAAAGGTCCTCCACCTCACTTTGCCCTTTCTGAGGCCCTAAATCCCTCTGTGCAATCCGAATCTATTTAAACTCAAAAATTGAAATCTAAGATTAAAGAATGCCACCTTAGAAAAAGGTTATTTCTTAGCCCAACACAACTCCCCAATTTAAAAGGTCCCAGGATGGTAACAGAATCTATTATGTGCAGGGCACTGTTCTATCGAATGCAAGTACCTTATAGGTATTAACTGGTTCAATTCTCATTTCAGTCCTATGGAGTATAAGTTATGAGAAAAGTAAGGCAAAATGACTAATGAGTTCGCACGGATAAGTGAGTGGCTGCGAAGTGACCTTAGGCATTGTACTCCAGCCTCTGCATTCCTAACCCTCCAACCGGATGAGCTCCTGGGAGGGAAGAGTTGTGGATCAAGTTGAGAAAATGACAATAGAAGGTCTAAATCAGGGGACATTGAGCAAGCCAGGTGACATAAGGGCTGAGAGTGGGCATGCCCTAGAAACTTATGGTGGAGTAGTGAAACTGCTGTGAACAGGGTGTGAAAGCCATCTGAAACATCCCTTAGGCATGTCACAGAACAGCAAGGGGAACAGAGCAAGGAAGTCCTGAGGGGATACCAAAAATAGACTTTGGGGCCAGGGTGTGGCACCCCATCAGATTCCACTGGAAAACACTCC